CGTTTTCTAGCAGTGTTAGAACGATAAATTTTTTTAAAAATTATGTAATTTGATTGGTTAATAATCACGGGAAATCATGGGTAGATCTATAAAAATTAACCAATCAAACGAACTTCTGTCTATGAACTTCGGGGTTCTAACAAAAAAGATTCCTTGAAAAATTTTAGTATAAACTATAACCTTCTCTAACCCTAAAGCTATCCTCACCCTAACCTTAAACTATAATAATTTTTCATTTACAATTTATATATTAAACAAATTCGTAAATCAATAAATTAGTATGTGTATATATACACCTGGTGTAAATTAAATAATTTTCAATTTTATAATATATAAAAACAAATTAGACTTTTTATAATAGTAAAATTTTAGTAGATAAAATATTTAAAAAAATTATACTTCTATATGTTGTAAAATTTCCTCCAGTTGGTTCAAATTTCTCCCAGTTACACAAAACAATTGATTTTGATTGGTTGATATCATATGATCATCATATGATTTTTGTAAACAATTTTTGATACCTAAAATTTAAACATTCATATCTTGTTGAATATTAAACCAATTCTAATAATTTTATTATCATTAGAATAAGAAAAATCTGCTCTATAATTTTTACTTAATAGCCTAAAATAATTGGCTTGATAAAATTTTGTAAAATTTTTTAAAAAAAAATAAATACTACAAGATTATATATAAATACACCCTACCCTTAAAATCAGATCTGGCTTTAATAATACTGGTTCCAAACTTTAGCAATCATTTAGTATAGTATGTTTAAGCAGAGTTTGGAACCGGTTTATTTTTAATATGTTAAACCGATAAAACAGGTTGAATAATATAAAAAAAATCGGTTCCAAACTCATGTGTTAAGTACTAATCTAGAGTTAGAGCCCTTTTATTTTAATAGGTAATCCACGAATAAACGTCAATAGTAAATTCAACACGTAGTAAATTCTTATAACATATATGTATATAATACAAAAATCACCTTTTCCTACAATATAAAGTCAATTTTTTATTAGGCTAAACATCTTTAAACTTTTAATAAAGGTTGTAGAGCTAGTTTTTTTGTAATTCTAATGGTAGTAAGATCGGTAAAATTGGTTTGGTAGATCAAAAGTTAAATCAATTTAAAGTTTAAAATCATATAAAATTAGAGGAAATGTGATTTATGCTATTCTCATTTATTCGTGAATTATCAAAATCTGAAATCTAATGCTGGCAAAATTAATCTTAAAGCTTAAGCAGTTTTACGTTTTCAAAGAGATCATTTTAACGCTGGCAAAAATTAATCTTAAAGTGGTTTTACGGTTGTCAATTTAAGTGATAAGTATTAGAGATATTTTTCTGAAGAAACACATCAAAAATTTGAATTAACATAATAAAAATTATATGATGCCCGTTGTCAGGACCAGCTCTAGGGCGTGCATTTAGGGAGGGTTGCACTTAGAGAACACTAATAAGATCATAATTGGGATTATTATCACGTAATAAGCATGCCTTTAGCAGCATGAAAATAATAAATTTGATTGGCTATTAATTACGTGGATGCATTTATGGGGAGTTTTTATAAATGGTCCAAGCACTTACAGAATAAAGAACGTGCATTTATCTATAAGTCTCATTGTAGGGCTAGCCTTCTATCATGCATTTAGAGAGGTGTTGCATTTAGGGAGGTTGCATTTAGAGGGGTCTGACTGTATTGCAATTTTCTTTATTTTAATTATATAACGATAATTAATTAAAGTATACATAAATTTTAAATCACATCTGAAATTGGAAGAATTTCATAATGTGTAAAAATTTAAACCATGGCATTTCAAAAAAAAACAAAACTTAAAAATTTAAGAAAAAATCCAAAATAATGAAAATTTGACTTGAAATAAAAAAATAATCTCGAAAATTAATTAGGCCATGCAAATTAATTCATTGGTTTTTCATAACCCGGCCGGGTCAAAATTTGAAAACTTGTAAAAAAAATTTTTATGTATTTTAATAACAGTGTGGGTTTTAAAGAAATTTTTAAAAAAATTTTATAAACCTTTTATATATGCAATTTAAAAAAAAAACCGGCCGGCCTGGTCTGTTTAAAAATTTCATATTATGAAAACCAAGACATTAAATTTGTGTGGCCTTAGTTTGAATTTTTTTTTTACATTCAGAAACTAATAGTTCAATAAACTCTTCATAGAGTTTAAAATTTTTTTTTCTTTTGAAATTTGAATCATGTAGAAAACGAAAGGTGATACCAGCCTTGTATAATAAAGGATACCAAATCTCTATCGTAATTCCCTGACTTTCTAATTTCGATATTAAATCAGTAATATGTTCATAAGCCTGTTTGCTTCGGCCAATTTGAGTATTAGATGTATCATCCGGGATTGAATTTGTTAGAATTATCTTTATCCATTCCTTTTTACCCTTATCATCTTTAAATATCCTTTCTTTCGATTTTTGCATCACCTTATACGTTTGACTAAATAACACACCTACATAAGTCAATTCAGCTCTACGTTTTAATTCTTCTGAAGTTGTTTTTACTGTTTTAAGAAAAGTCGACCATTGTTTATGATCAATTGAATTTGGCTCGACACCAACGTGAGTTGAAATATCATCCGTTTTTAGCCTTAAAATATAAGCTTTTAATTGAGTTTCTAAGTAATCTTCATATTTTTTTCTCTTTGTTTTAGTACTATCGCCATCATTTTTTGACTGATTATCATCAATGTTTGTATCACTGACACCTTCACTCATGCTTAAAAAATTTTATATTCAGGTTTTTTTCAGACATATTAATCATGAATGAATCAAATTGATTTCAAAATACTTACTTTAAAGGAACAATAAAATTTTAATGATCGCTTAAAGAAAGATCATAATTTCCATAATGAAGATCTTTTTTATAAATAACGATAATGTACCCGAAAATGCAGTGAAACCCGAATTTTGCATGGGTGTGTAATATTGGTCTAATAACAAGATTTTTTAGTGGACTGCGTTAATTTAATAGTAAAAAACATAGAAAGCTCAAACTGCAATAACTCTTGAACCAGCAAACCCACACAAATAAAATTATATTTTGTAGGTTCATTATAATATGCTCTTTAACTTAATAACGCTCTTTTTTTTTTATTTCTATTGTCTGGAGCGTAGCAGAGAACTCAAAGAATTTTCGTTTTTGATTTATTATTAATCAAAATATCAAAAATGTAAATATTGCTTATTGTGTCACAATATGCACAGAAAAATTCAAAGTTACAATTTTGATGTTTTTATTAATAATAAATCAAAAACGAGAATTTTGGTATTATTTTATTCCATGCTTCAGACAATAGAAATAAAAAAAAAGAGCATTATTACATTAAAGAGCACATTATAACGAACCCGACAAATATAATTTTATTGTGCGGGTTTGCTGGTTCGAGAGTTATTGCAGCTTGAGCTTTCTATGTTTTTACTATTAAATTGACGGTACACTAGAAAATATAACCTGCGAAATGATATTGAAACGCTAACTCAAGTTGATACGAAATCTAATAGCAACTTATGTTGATTTTAAATAGGGATGGATCATCCGGTCCGGTCCAATCCGTCCGGTCCTAATAAGACTGGTCCATTAACGTTATTTTGTCCGGTCTCGGTCCCATAAACGGTCCTGACCTCTAACTATCCTATTGGCTAGCGGAGAGAATTAAATCATATAACATCGAAGACCGGTCCGAACTGGTCTCAGGACCGGAGACCGGTTAAAAAGACTGATTCGGTCTTTCCAGGACTGATCCGTCCTAATTTTAAATTTGACACTGGCACTCAGTTTACTTATTTGCGCGAGTAACACAACTAGGGTTTAGGGCACGGATAAAAAATTGTGCATGCCTTGTGTCGAGGCAGGATAGATTAGCGGAGAAACAAAAATTCAGCAGATCGGCCCGAATTATGGGTCGGAATGCACCGGCATTGATTAATT